TAGGATATTTTATATTCCACATCATTCGAATCACTAAAAAGGGGGATTTATTTTCATATATTATTAAATATAATTTTTTTTAATGAACGTTGATTTGAAATTTTAATTTTTGCATCTTTCATTTAATTTAAAAAAAAGGAGTTTGCAATTTAAAATTTTTTAATTTTATTTCATTTAATTTTGCAATTTAATAAAAGAAAAATATTTTTAATAATTTTTTGATCAATTTAATTAAAATAATTATATTTTTAGAATTAATACGCATTATAATTATATATAATTCACAGCTCGAAAAAAAATTTTTCTTTTATTTAAAGAAACCAATATTTTTTTGACTTGTTTGTTCTTTCATCTAAAATAAAATTTTCTTTGAAACAAAAAAAAAGTTTTTTAGTTTCCAAGAAAAATTTCTTTAAATAAAAGAATAAAAAATAAAAATTTCTTTCATTCAAAGAAATTTTCTTTGAAACAACGAAATTTGTGCATTAAATTAAATAAATTCTAACATTGATATATAGGGTCAAAGAAACATTTATTTGAATTAAATAAAAAATTTCTTTGAAACGAAGATAATTTTTTTTTGCATCAAAGATAATTTGTTTGAAACAAATATAAATTTGTCAAAGAAATCTTTTTCAATACAATTAATTATTTAATTAATATAATATAATCATATAGTAATAATAATAATATTATTATTATTATTAATAAACTATAAAATCTTTTAATTAATTAATTAAAAATTCTTTTCAATTAATTGAAAATTAAATAAAATTTTGTGAAAATGTAAATTTTGAAATTTTTTGTTTTCTCGTACAAAAGGAAGAATTTTTTTTTTATTCTTTGCTAATAAGACATAATTTAAAATGTAGAAAAAAAATTTCTCTCTCTCTTTTTCTCTCTATATAAAAGTGAACAAATCTTTGACCTCGTCCAGCAAGTGCGCGAATGGTTGAAGAATCAATTTAATCGATATGATGAAATGAACCTCGGGAACACCTCAGACTATCCTTTATTGGCTTACATTTACCTCGAAACTAACCATGCTTTCCTCACTCACCCCACCCCACCCCCCATCCTTCTGTCCTCTCACCCTCCCCTTCCCCCTTTAAAAATCACCTTACGCTCATCCCTCAAAAAAGGGTGTCACATTTCCTATGTCATAAAGTCAGCAAGTCTAGTGAAACTTATATTCATAAAACGATTTCTGTTTCCTCGAAGCGGGAAAATGGAGAAAATATGGAAGACGAGACTGTTACCCAATCCCCTTGCCCTCTTCTCTCACCACCCTACCAACCCTCACCAATAACGTCACTGCTACCAATCCACACCCCGTGTGACGACAAAGGAAAACCAAAAAACTTTGTGTGTGACTTTTCAGTGTTGGTTTTTTAACAAAACGGAAAAAGTATATGAATCACTTGCATAGTTATTTCCGGAAAATGTACACTTTTCCCGTGTCGCGTAGTTTAAAATATAAAATACGATATGCATCATATATATATTTGTACAATATGTTGACTTTTGAAAATATGAAATTTCTTTAAAAAATAAAAAAAAGATTTAAAAAAAAATGCTGTAAATATTTACCTATAGACTTCAAAAATTTCTGACTCAAATAATAATTATTTTCATACTATTGATAATACATTTATAACGTTTGTAAATATATCCGAAACTAATTGAAACTAGTTTGAAAAATGTTTGAAACATGTACAATAATCCATTTGAAACTAGTTTACTTTGAAATATGTTTGAAATACGTTCCAAACTATTTAAAACATTTCCGAAACTGTTTTAAACTAATTTTGTTTCAAACAGGTCAAAAATATGTTCAAAACTATTTAAAACATGCCCGAAACTGTTTTAAACTAGTTTGAAATATGTTTAAAACATGTACAAATCTATTTGAACCTAGATTAGTTTAAAAAACTAGTTTGAAGTATGTTTGAAACAGGTTCGAAACTATTTAAAACATGTCCGAAACGATTTTAAACTAATTTAGTTTGAAACAGATTTAAAACTATTTAAAAATGTCCAAAACTGTTTTAAACTAGTTTGAAATATGTTTAAAACATGTACAGATTTGTTTTGAACCTAGTTTAGTTTGAAAAACTAGTTTGAAATAGGTTTGAAACACGTTCGAAACTATATAAAACATGTTTAAAACTGTTTTAAAATAATTTTGTTTCAAACAGGTTTAAAATATGTTCCAAACTATTTAAAACATGATCGAAACTGTTTTAAACTAATTTAATTTCAAACAGATTTGAAACATGTTCGAAACTATTTAGAACATTTCCGAAACTGTTTTAAACTAGTTTGAAATAGATTTAAAACATGTTCAAATCTAATTGAATCTAGTTTAGTTTAAAAACATTTTGAAAACTATTTAAAACATGCCCGAAACTGTTTTAAACTAATTTTGTTTCAAACAGGTTTAAAACTATTTAAAACATGTCCGAAACTGTTTTAAACTAGTTTGAAATATGTTTGAAACATGTACAAATCTATTTGAACCTAGTTTAATTTGAAAAAGGTTTGAAACACGTTCGAAACTATATAAAACATGTTCAAAACTGTTTTAAACTAATTTTGTTTCCAAACAGGTTTAAAATATGTTCAAAACTATTTAAAACATGACCGAAACTATTTTAAACTAGTTTGAAATATGTTTAAAACATGTTCAAATCTAATTGAACCTAGTTTAGTTTAAAAACATGTTGAAAACTATTTAAAACATGTCCGAAACTGTTTTAAACTAATTTTGTTTCAAACAGGTTTCAAACTATTTAAAACATGTCCGAAACTGTTTTAAACTAGTTTGAAATATGTTTGAAACATGTACAAATCTATTTGAACCTAGTTTAGTTTGAAATAGGTTTGAAACACGTTCGAAACTATATAAAACATGTTCAAAACTGTTTTAAACTAATTTTGTTTCCAAACAGGTTTAAAATATGTTCAAAACTATTTAAAACATGCCCGAAACTATTTTAAACTAGTTTGAAATATGTTTAAAACATGTTCAAATCTAATTGAACCTAGTTTAGTTTAAAAACATGTTGAAAACTATTTAAAACATGTCCGAAACTGTTTTAAACTAATTTTGTTTCAAACAGGTTTCAAACTATTTAAAACATGTCCGAAACTGTTTTAAACTAGTTTGAAATATGTTTGAAACATGTACAAATCTATTTGAACCTAGTTTAGTTTGAAATAGGTTTGAAACACGTTCGAAACTATATAAAACATGTTCAAAACTGTTTTAAACTAATTTTGTTTCCAAACAGGTTTAAAATATGTTCAAAACTATTTAAAACATGCCCGAAACTATTTTAAACTAGTTTGTAATATGTTTAAAACATGTACAAATTTGTTTTAACTTAGTTTAGTTTAAAAAACTAGTTTGAAATATGTTTGAAACATGTTCGAAACTATTTAAAACATGTCCGAAACTGTTTTAAACTAGTTTGAAATAGATTTAAAACATTTTCAAATCTAATTGAATCTAGTTTAGTTTGAAAAACATGTTCGAAACTATTTACAACATGTCCGAAACTGTTTTAAACTAATTTAGTTTAAAACAGGTTTAAAACTATTTAAAACATGTCCGAAACTATTTTAAACTAGTTAGAAATAGGTTTAAAACATGTCGAAATCTTTTTGAATTTAGTTTAGTTTGAAAAACTAGTTTGAAATAGGTTTGAAACATGTTTAGAACTAAAACATGTCCAAAACTGTTTTAAACTTATTTAGTTTGAAACAGATTTGAAATATGTTTGAAACATGTTTGAAACTATTAAAAACATGTCAAATTGAACCTATAATTTATGTATTTAAAACAAATATACCATTTAATTGACTCAAATAATAATTAGTTTGATATAAATAAATATTTAGTTGTGTCAAGTAAATATTTATTTATGAAAATTTTTGGTAAATATCATTAGTCGGTAATGAAGATTTTTTTACCTAATAATTTTTTCCTAATAAATTCTAAAAATTTTAAATAGAAAATTTTTTATATAATATACAAATTTTTTTTTTTTTTTTTAAAAAATAATGAAAATCGTGTCTTTTTTCTATTAAATGAGAAATTTAATAATAAATATTTTACAACCCCATTTTATAAAACCTATAAAATTTTACATTTCCTATATGCCCAGTATTATATATCCGGATGATAAGGTTGACTTTGTATATAACTTCATTTTTTCAACAAAAAAAAAAAGGATAAAATTATTTTACAATAATATTTTTTTCCATGTGATAAATTGAAAAAAAAATATAAAATTTTAATCGAAAAATAACTAATAAAAGAAGCTTTATAATGGAACAAAATTTGCAACTGTGAAATATGCAGATCGTCATTAGATAAGAGAAAAAAAAATTCACTACAATCGATAATTTCAATGGCATTTTTTTTTTTTTTTGAGGTTAAAAGATTTATTCTTTACGTACTCTATATATATATTTTTTTTTCTCCTTCCTTCATTCTGCATATATAGACATTGATTTATCTCCTCGAAAAGTATTCATCTTTTTAAGTGTTTTCTATTTATGCAAAGGAAGGAATTTTTTTTACAATTTTGATTACCAATTAATTAAAAGAAAAAGAAAATAATTTAAATTTACATTAAAAAATAATCTTAATTAATAAATTTTCCTATGTATTAGGCAAATAAAATATCGTTACTGCTTTAAGAACGGAAAATATAACCTCAAAATTATTATGGAAGGGAGAGAGGCGAACATAACCTTAAATTTTGAAAAAGTCGAGTGGTAATCATAACCTCAAAATTTCGATCACGAAGAATAGAATATCGAAAAATTTGTCCAATGGACAAAAGGCGAACATAACCTCAAAATTTTCAGTCTCAATTATACTTTTTTAATAGCAGTTCAACAATTTTTTTTTTCATAAAAGTAAATATGTAATTAATTAATTTATAATTAATTTTTTTAATAAAAAATAAATAAAAAAAAAAATTACATACCTTTTGTTTGCTGTATTTTGGAGTTGTCCTTGAAGCAATGAAAAATTTACACTAAAATCACACGCGGTTTAAATATTTTCGAAACACTACCGGAATTTACTTTTTTTTTATTTTACTCACTTAAAACTAATAATTTAATAATTAATAATAATATAATTATTATTAATTAACTAAATTAATAATTACTAATAATTTTAATTAATTGAATGAATAGGAAATTTTCAATAAAAATTTTACGCCATTTTGAAACGCGCCACGTGCTCTCGAAATATTACTGATAAGTAAAAGCAAGGCTTCAAGGGACTTCCGTGACTTCTAGCAATGTCGACCAATTAAATTACTTGATACTTCCAGTTCAGGAGTTTGAATAAAAACGATTGGCTGCATCTATATTTTTACGTCACTTGAATATTGTGTCCTAATTTTTTCCTGATATTTTCAAAAAAATTTTTATAAAATGCAACAAAAAAAAATTGCCGAATTTTACCAAATAGAATTAATAATAAAAAGAAAAAAATAACAAAAGAAAATAATAATTAATTATATTTTCTGCTAATTATTATTTTCTTTATTTTATAAATAAATAAAAAATTACCAATCAAAATTCACTAAATTTTAAAAGACAAAAATATTATCAATTTCCGTAAAAAGAATTAATAAAATAATAATAATTAAATTTTCCTCAATAAAAAATTAGCAATCAATGTATATTGATTTTAAGGAAACAAAAAATTTTAATAGAGGAAATTTTTTTAAAATTTAATATTTACGTAAATATTAAATATTATTAATAAAAATTAAGTTTTTGAATTCATAAAAAATTATTGCATTTAAAAGTAAATCTAAATAAACAAATCGGATATAAACAATTCATCAAAACAAAGGATCAGAATTGTATTCTCTCTGATTTTTGTTTACATCTCGTGCTGTTGTATTTACAATTGTGCTTTAAAAAAAAACACACCTGATATTGATTTATATGAATTGAATACACGATTTTCTAAATTCAGTTAAATCATTTTTTTAAACAAAACTTTATTATGGATTTCTTAAATTTATAATTTTGGGGGATAATAATAATTTATAATTTTTTAATTCGTAAATTGAAATTTATTATTAGTATAATGCCAAATTAGATTAATTAAAAAAAATAGTATTACTGATTGCAAGCCAGTGACAAAAAAAAAATTATTTTCTAGGGAAAGAAGAAAACATAGACGAGCTATTGCTTGTAGTAGCAGCGGCGCTTGAATGAGCGAGCCTGCTCGGCGAGTCAACTTTTATCCTCGTGTCGAAACGAGAGTGGGGGGACGCGCTCGCTATTCGTTGACGGCGGGACTCGCTCAAGGTCATGCGCGTCGTTGTTGCGCAGTGGAACACTTTGGCTTTCACGCCTCGCATTTCCAAACCCTAAAAACATATAGCGCGGGAATTTTTAAAAAAATTTTCACTTTATGAACACTATATTATATTTACTAAATTTTTTTCTACATTCATTTCAATAAAATATAAATCTATTTATTATATAAATATAATAGCTAAAATATTCAATAAAACTAAAGCATTTCTATTTAAAAAATATATATTTATAAAAAAAAAAATTTAAATAGAAAAATTTGACGAACTGTAACGTTTTTTTTATCTTTTAAACTAATAAAAAAACAATAAAAATTTTATTTCATTTAGAAAAAAAGAGCACTATCTAAATTGAATTGAATTTTGTAATTAACTATACTATCATATTGAAAGAGGGGTGAAAAAAAAATTACAGCTTTACACTTACCAGTGAAGTAATGTATGATCTCGAAATAACAAGGAACAGAAGAATGTAGACTTCAAGAATGGCGAGAGAGAGAGAGGAGAATTTAAGGTCTTACTAAAAGGGGTTTAATACCTCTAGAGAATGTGTAATCCTGGTTCTTTGCTTCATGAATTTTGTTGCCACTTTTTTTTTTACTTATTTTTTTACCTCTTTTTATTTTCCAACTACCCACCTACACTTTCTCGAATCTCTTTCTTTTTTTCTCTTCTCCCGCATTTAAAAATTATCCAAATCTCTTGCACCTAAATCCATATGAAATGAAGAGAATAAAAAAACAAAAGAAAAGCACACACATAAAAAGAATTATTACCATTATAAGAGTATGGCTGCTAAAGGAGAAAAAAAAATTATTAAAAACTCTTTAGAAAAGTTATAAAAAAAAAAAAATGAGAATAAAAATTTGTAAAATACTCATCTTTTGAGAAAAAAAAAAAATTTTAAATTGTTGTTTGAGAGAAAAAAAAAGTTTTGGAAATAAATTTTATATCCATTTCTTGGTGAAACACGTAAAAAGTTTTTTTTTCCTCTCTATATATTTTTATCGATAAATCCCACGCATAGAAACTATAATAAAAAAAAAACAAGAAAAACAGTATAAAAAGATTTTCTTTACTTTTCTCGTGTTCTTTTCGATAAATATTTCTTATATATATATATATATATATATATATATATATATACAGTTATATATGGTAATAAAAATTTTTTTGAAATATATTTCACACTTTATTTTCTATAAATAATTTTCGTTTTTCACAATACACTTTAAAATGAAAACACGAAAAATATTTTCAAAGAAAAGTAATAAATAATTTTTTTTTTCTCTAAAAACACGTAAAATATTTTCGAAAAAAAAAATAAATTTTTCTATTTCTAAGAACACGTAAAATATTTTCGAAAAAAAATTTCTTTTTCTAAATTTTAAATAAAAACACGGAAAATATTTTCAAAAATAAATTTTCGTTTTTTACTGAAAAAATATTCTACACTAAAAAAAAATTATTAAAAAAAAAAATTAGAAAAATCAATGAAACAAATTGCATAATAAATTGTAAATTCAATGAGATTCAATGTCTCGTGTATATATAAGATCAGAAAACGGAAACAAGAATCACACTTCTTCTTCTTCTTCTTCTACTATCTTCTTCATGAAATTTTAATAGACTTTAATAATTCACGATTTCGAAATTGTGGAAAAAGAAATATCATAAAAATTTAATGTTCATCTTCAGAAAATTGCTTTCTCATTACTCTCTTCACAATAGTGAAATAAATTTATTTTTTTTCCATTGTCAAAAATTTATATTTTACTTTCTAATAGTTTTTTAAATTTTTGTAAAAAAAAACGGTCTTGATATTATTTTTTAAAATGACTGTACATTATTAATAAAAATAAATAAAATTTACAATACCGAGAAATTGAAATAATAATAATAATAAAAGCCATCTGTTTTTGTTTTGAAAAAAAAAATAAAATTTAAATTTCGCGCCATTTATAACTCGGCTATTGTCCGCGAGATGGCGGATAACTTTATTGCTCGTAAACGACATGAAGAGTCAAAGGGTATAAGTACCGGTGACTCTAGGAGATTTTTCCAACGCAAAGAAAAAATATTTTTATTACAGGTCTTTATTATATTATTATAATAATAATAATATTGTATTATTATTACTATTATTATTATATTATTATTATATTATTATAATAGTATTATTATGTTATTATAATAGTAATATTACATTATTAGTATTGTAATAGTAATTAGTTAAAGTAGGTATTATAATATTTTTATAATATTATAATAACATTATTATTATTATTATATTATTTTTTATTTATTATTGACAGTAATAAATAAAAAAATAATTATTAATAATTATTCTCGTAAATTAAAAATTGTTTCCAGTCAACTATTATTGTTATTATCTAATTTATTATTGTTTAGTTATTTTTAGTTAAAAATTATTTTTCCTATGTTAATCTTAATTTATTTTTTCAATTTCATTTATTATAGTCATTCATCCCGTAATTTATTTAATTAAACTAAAAAAATTTCGTCGCCAACTAATTTTTATGTTATCATTTCTTTTTTCGGTGACTAATTTTTTTTTTACACAAAAACAAAAAGATTTATGTCACTGTTTCACTGAAGCACGCAATCTTTAAATTGTATTACTGGTTTTTTTTCCACCAGCAAAAGAAGTAACTCGAGTTGATATAATTTCTCCATTGAGTGAAACAAAGAAAAAAAAAAAAATTTTTTTTTTCTCTTGCAAATCAGATAAAATGTCATCTGCACATGTAACTTTTTTTTCCTTTCATATATAACTTTTTTTTTCTACCCCCTTTCATCCTTATCAAAACTTTACTTGTAGGTATAGAGTAAAAAAAAAAGAATGTATCCAAAATATTTGCTTTGGACAAAAATTTTTTTTCTCTCTCACAAAAAAAAAATTATCTAATCTATATTTATTTTGAAGCAGAAAAATGAAAAGAAATTTCCAATTAACAATTTATATTCGAGGTGTTGAAAAAAGTTTAGTGTAATTATAATTTTTTTTTTTTTTTTTATTTTATTTGTTCAGATTAACATGTGAAGATTGCGTGTGTATTATATAAACACATCAGGGGCAGCTAATGACCAGCTCAAAATTGTCTCTACTATAATTAATAGTTTAGGTAACTGAAACAATACTGTCACGTCACTGTCTAAATTAATGAGCCCTTCAAGAAAATTATCTTAAATATTAACTTCGTTATATTGTTAAATTATTATTTATTAATTTATTAAAAAAAAATTTCATTTTTCTTTTTAACACAAAAAAAAAGAAAAATATTTTAATTTTATTCAATTTACAATAAAAATATATTTTTCAATATTTTAAATCCTGTTCCAAATAATTCTATACTTATTATAATATTATTATTGTTATTATTATAATTGATATATTTATAATTATAATTGTTATTAATATTATTATTATTATTAATATTTTTATTTATTAATTTTTTTTTAAATAATACTATTAAAAAATAATAAAATTTTAGAAAATTAATTATTTTAAAATTTCTTTTTTTAATATATGTATATATAGAGAGAGAGGGAACAATATTTCTTGGCAAATATTATATTGCAGGAAGAATGATGGAATATAATTGATGACGTAATCAAAACGTCAAATATAATAACGCTGCTAATAAATTCAGCTTATTGGAAATATGAAGGACAGAAATGAAGTAGGAATCACTTATTTGAATGTGGATTTAAAATAAGCCGATCAAGTTTATTTAAAATTTAAATATATATATAGATAAGTGATTGTAGATGGAAATCAGGAAAAAAAATTTTTTTTCTTTTTTTGCTCCATTTTTTTTTTTTTTTTAATGAACATTATAATTATTAAAACAAAAAAATTATATTTTTAATTTTGAAAAAAAATCCACAAAAAGGTAATTTTACGATATATAATTATATTATAATAAGCTTTCAATAAAAATAGGAATAATAATAATAATAATAATAATAATAATAATAATAATAATAATAATAATAATAATAATAATAATAATAATAATAATAATAATAATAATAATAATAATAATAATAATAATAATAATAATAATAATAATAATAATAATAATAATATTAATATTAATAATAATAATAATAATAATAATAATAGTAATAATAAAATATAAATTTTTCAGATTATTTAAAAAAAAAATTATTTTTATTCTCACCGGAAATTTTCCTCCTGGAAATAAAAATGTTTCTCGCAAAATTGTCCGCCAAAAATTAAAAAATTAATAATTTAACCTATGAAAGTAAATAAAAAAAATTATAAATAAAAATAATAAGTAAATAATAAATAAATAATATATAAATAAATTATAAATAATAAATTAGTAATAAATAAATAATAAATAATAAATAATAAATAATAAATAATAAATAATAAATAATAAATAATAAATAATAAATAATAAATAATAAATAATAAATAATAAATAATAAATAATAAATAAATAAATAGGTAATAAATAATTTATTATATAAATAAAAATAAATAATTAAAAAACTATTTTTTTATAATTAAAAACAAAATAAAAAAAAAATACATTAAAACATTTTTTTTTATAAATAAATTACTTTTCAATTCAATTGTTTTGCAGCAATTAATTTATTCCTATAGAATTTTTTTTTTTTTTATATAAAATTTATATATACACATAAGTTTATTATATTATAGATGAATGGGGTGGGGGGGGGGGGGTAAAGAGGTAAAAAACACGAAATATTCGCCCTAGATGTTAAAATTTATAACATGATCAGTGTGGCATGATTTTATATACCAAGAAATTTTTTTTTTTTTTTTTTAATATTTTTTCCACAATATACCTATATCATTATTTCGATTATCGTAAAATGCATCGTTAAAACTAATACGATACGATTTATGTATTTATATACAAAGTTAATCGAAAAATATTGAATATCAAAAAGAAAAAAAAAACGACGCAAATATTCGATGCTTATCAGTAATTGTTTAAAATTTTTAATATAAAAAACTTTTTTTAAAAAAAAGAGAGAAAAATATTGATAAAAAATATTTACATATAACAATATAAAAAGGAATTTAAAAAAAAAATATTGTATATAAAATTAAAAATTATTTCATTGAAATAAAAAAATATATATATTAAATTTCATTATTTCAATAGCGACACAGAGTTTTAAATAGAAAATAATTCCTATATATTTCAAAATTGATAATAATCAAAGTTCGATGTAAAATAATACTCTTCATAGTTACCAAAAAAAAATTGTCTTATACTAAATTTTCATAGTCATAACTTTTTTCAGGAATAAAAAAAAATTTGAATCAATTTTTCCTTCTCTTCCAATTAAAAGAGTCAAATTTACTCACAATTTTTTTTCACGATTCTTTTTTATCCATTTTTTTTTCTTCCTTTTTGTTGCCCCTTTTTTTTGCCAAAACGACAAAAAAAAAAAAAAATACAAAATTAAAGTGCCATTTTCAAGTGGAAATTGAAAAATTTTTTTTTTAATATTATTTCTAAATATAGAGAATTGAGATTATATTTCGTAAAATTTACGATTTCAACTTCAAATGTGAATCACAAATTATTTCAGTCGTCTTCAAACATCTCCTGGAACATGAATTATCGATCGTTCCAGGCAAAGCTCTTTGCTAAACACGATCCTCATCGCCTAATAGTCGAACCACTTCTGCAAAAAAAAAGAGGAGAAGAAAAAAAAATTATACAAATATTTTTCTCTTTGTGCTCCCTTTTTTTACTTATTTTATGTGAAAAGAGAATTTTTGTTTGAAATAATTCAAAAAATAAACAAAATTACGATTACGATTTGAATTTAGTAATTATTTAAAAATTACTTTAATATTGTAAATTACATTAAAAGTAGTAAAGATAGGTCGGTAATGGCATTTTTCTACATTACCGACTGATGGTAAAACTCTTCGGAAGAAGTAAAAAGTAATTAACCATTAGTGGATAAATACGATTTCTACTTTACCGACCGTCGGTAAAGTAGTTTGTTAGTTATGAAAAAAGTAATTCACCATCAGTCGGTAAATATGATGTCTACATTGCCGACCGCCGGTAAAGCAGTTCAATAGAGATAAAAAAGGGTTTTTACTATCGGTCGGTAAATATGCTGCCTACATTACCGACCGCCAGTAAAACAGTTTAAAAAGATAAAAAAGGTAATTTACCATCAGTCGGTAAATATACTGTCTACATTACCGACTGACGGAAAAACAGTCAGGAAGAGATAAAAAGGAATTAACCATCAGACGGTAAGTATGCTGTCTAAATTACCAACCGCCGGTAAATTAGTTCAAAAGAGTTAAACGGTACTTTACCATCAGTCAGTAAATATGCCATCTACTTTACCAACCGCTGATAACCAGTTCGGAACTTTTATATTCGCTTCAGAATACTTTATTTAAAACGACAGTAATGATAATACTACCGCAGTTTACCACCGATTAGCATTGTTAACCCTAAATAAAAAATAGGACCAAATAATTGAACGGTAAGTAACGTAAAATAAAAATTGTAACATTTGGTATAAACCATAGTCAGTAAGTGCCATAGACTGTAAGTACCACTGAATACAGTAAATTATCCACATGCAATAGTTAACTTAAAGTAAAAAAACTTAGAATTCAGCATATTTACCATCAGTCGGTAATGTAGATCGAAAAATATTCATATTACACTGGTATTAAGTCAAAATTATCGGGCGGTATTATAAACGGTTTCCTTACATGTTACCATCAGTCAATAAACCAACACAGTCGGTACCAACAGTCGGTAAAGATACAATCTACATTACCGTCTGTCGGTAAAGACGAAATCTACATTACCAATAGTCGGTAAATGCGAAATCTTCATTACCATCAGTCGAATTTTGTAATCTACATTACCGGCAGTCGATAAATGACATTGTTACAACATTTTTGAGACATTTAATTTAAAAAAAAATTTTAATTGAAATATTAATTAATTCTAAAATATTGTAATTTTTTTTAAAGTATTATTATTATTATTAAGTTCGAAAATTTTTTTTCTCGCTCTAAAAAAATTAAATTATATTTTGCTGTCAAAGAAAAATGGAACAAAGAAAAGAAAATAAATGAGGGGATAAAAAAAGAAAGAAGTGTTGGAAGTTTTAATTGAGACTTGCCCGATTTGCCAATGAGTGATGCTCTGTTTAAGTAAATGGCTGAGTCGTTTGCACTGACTTCACTGTTTCCAGCTTGAGTGATATTTCTTGTGACCCCTGTGGAGGTACCACGGTCCCCGCATCGCAATCTAAAACAAATTAGCCAACTTCAAGAACGTGTCTCTCACAACGTGACATTTGAAAAGAGAGAGAAATGCGTTTGTTCGTTTCTTGAATTTGTGAATGTGGAAATAAACTTTTTTTTTGAGAATACAAGAATAACTGAAGAAATGGGTGAAATTCTTTTTGAAAATTTATTTTTTATTTTCAATATAATTTCCATTTTTTATTCAATTGTTTTATTATTTATATTTATAATTTATAATAATTTAAATTTTATATTATTTACCAAAAAGAAACATTTTATTTTCATTTCTTAAAAAAATTACTCTGATATTAATAATTAATATTTTAATAATATTATTTTTTATTAATATTTAATTAATAAAGAAATAAAATATTTTTTAGTTAAAAAAAATAATGAAATAAAATCCACATAATAATTAGAAACAATGAAAGAAAAGAATTGTTATAAACTTTCGCCTAAAGATGTGCAGTGGTCGCGTGGTTAGAGCTTCAGATTTGCCAAAAAAAAATCCAGGGTTCGATTCCTTGCGTAGGTGAGATTTTTTTTCAAGGTAAAAAAATATTTGTTTCGAACAAATTTAAGTTTGTTAGTATAATAATAAGTAATAAATAAAAAAAATAGAATTTTCTTTCGAAATAAGTTATAAATATAGTAAGTGGAAGATGAACTTGCCTCCAGCAACTGCACCAATCAAAGAGACTGAGAAAAGCATCTCGGAACTTCCGGTTCATGAAGCAATAGGTGATAGGATTGCAGCAACTTGAAATATAAGCCAAGAGTTGTACGAGACTAATTCCAGTGCTACCAACAAGGGAATATAGCAAATCTGGTTCAAATAGATACCACGTATTGATGACGTATAAAGGCGCCCAACAGACGAAAAATTCCAATACAATGGCAAAAAGCATTCTTATTACCTGTTAATGAATTTAGAAAAAGAAAAACAAATTATTTTTAAAAATATTATTATCTACTAAAAAAAGAATATCAAATTATTTAATAATAATAAAAAATCTAATGATAAAAAAAATTATCTAATAAGAAAAAAAAAATTATCTAACAATAAAAAAAAGTTATCTAATAATAAAAAATATCTAATAAAAAAAAAATATTACAAAATTAAAAAAAAAATGTAAAAACAGTTGTTTATACAAAATATATTAATATTTTTCATTTGACATTTGTTTTCAAATAAAAAAATTTGTTTAATTTTTAAAAAAAAATTTTATAAAAGCTTTTGATAAAATGGAATTTTAAACCTTTTTTTTTTCTTTTTTTATACTCGGAGAATAATAAAATTCATAGAAAAATTATTTATAAAAAGTTTATGAGCAGTGTACACGACAAAATGAAAGTTCAGAGGCTCGTAAATTATTTTTCAAATAAATGACATTGTTTCGTAATTACTAATAACTAATGAACTTTAGCATTAGAGGTTATTTTAAATTTAGATGAGCTATTACAGTTCTCAAGGAAACTTTACTTCATTCAATATAATATGTCAAGCTGAGGGGGATCAATACAATGAATAAATAAATATATATATATATATATATATATATATCAAGTAAATTAGACAATTAAAACTTTCCCGGGATCAATAATTAGTTTTATTCAGAATAAAAAGAAAAAAGTGTCTAGCAAATAACAAAGTGATAATTAAACTAAATAATAATAATAATATAAATAATAAAAATTATTATTAATATTATCATTATTATTTATTATTATTTTTTTTTGTTATTTTTATTAATATTTGTTATTAAAAAATAGAACAATAACGACTGTAATAATAAATTTTTAAAAAAGTACCAAAAACTGTTAAATTTTTGTTACAAACTTTTTATAACTTATTTCTAATGGTTTCAAACGTGTTTTAAATTATTCCAAAATATATTAAAAATATTCATATAATTTTTTCTAATCTAATTTCAATGGTTTAAAATTGATTTTTAATTTTTGAAAATGTTTCAAATTTTCACTAAATTATTTATAACTTGTTTAAACTTGTTTTATATGATTCAAACTTGTTTTAAATTTGTTTCAAACAATTTAAAACTTATTTAAAAATATTTAAAATTATTGAAAATTTGTTTAAATTTGTTTTATACGATTCAAACTTGTTTTAAAATTGTTTCGAACAGTTTAAAACTTATTTGAAAATATTTAAAATTATTGAAAACTTGTTTAAATTTGTTTTATACGGTTCAAAATGGTTTAAAATTATATCAAACAGTTTTAAACACGTTCGTAATTGTTTCAAACAGTTTAAAACTTGTTTAGAATAAATTAAAATTATTTAATCTCATTTAGAATTTTTTCAAACGGTTTAGAACTTGTTTAGTGTTAATTAAATGATTTAAAACTCATTCGAAATTGTTTCAAACAGTTTAAAACTGGTTTAAAATTATTTTAAATTTAAAAAAACTTGTTTGGAATTGTTCTAAACGGTTCAAAGTAGTTCTAAATTGTTTTAAATATTTTAAAACTGATTTGGAATTATTTTTAATTATTAAAAATTTGTTTGAAATTGTTCTAAACGGTTCGAACTTGTTTAAAATTGTTCCAAACAGTTTTAAACCGGTTGAAAAATTGTTTAAATTTATTTAAAACTTGTTTAACATTGTTTTAAACGATTTAAAACTTATTTGAAATAATTTAAAACAGTTTTAAACACGTTCGTAATTGTTTCAAACAGTTGAAAACTTGTTCAGATTTGTTTAAAACGGTTTGAAACTTATTGAGAATTAATTGAATGGTTTAAAACTTGTTCTTAATTGTTTCTAATAGTTTAAAATTTATTTAAAATTATTTGAAATTATTGAAAACTTGTTTAGAATTATTTTAAACAATTCAAACTGGTTCAAAATTATTTCAAACAGTTTTAAACTTGTTTGAAACTACTTTAAATTATTTAAAATATATTTAGAATTATTTCAAATGGAATATAAATTTGTTTAGAGCTATGTAAATGATTTAAAATTCGTTTTAAAATGTTGCAAACAGTTTAAAACATTAAAAAATGATTTTTAATAAATTTTTTTTTTGTTATTTTTACCGAAAATTGTTATTAAAAAATTTTTTTTTGACAAATTATTTTAAAATTTCTTTTTTTTGCATGAAAATTTTGTAAAAAGAAAAAAAATTGTTAAATAAAAATAGTCTATAATATTTCTTTTTTTTCTATCAAAAAAATCTTATTTTTCTATAGGAGTAAATAATTTCCTGTTTGAAAATTTTAATATGAAAAAATGGTAATAATCTTCTTCGCATGTGAAATTTGCAATTTCCTGTGATAGGTCAGTTTATATAGAGAGGCCAAAAAAAAAAAAAAAAAAAAAAAAAAATGTAAAAGAAAATTTTCATGTAAATATTGAAAAATACCTTCTTTTTAGCCTCAATACTTTTTCCCATGTAGTTACTGCGAATGACATGTTGCCGTCTCGAAGTATAAGTTGAATTTTGACGACTCTCAATTCCTCCTCCGGGTTCATCCGTTTCCCGATAAATCACTGAGCCTCTCCTACCATTTCCATTGGCAGTTCCACTAGTTCCAGGTAATGTTATAATTGAATTTAAATCATTGCTACCACTTACATTGACATTAACATCTACATTTGTTGAATTTTTTGTCGATGATTTTAATCTTCGTATCTGGAAATTTGAAAAATAAATTCCAAAAATTTGGAAATACAATTTATTATTTTTTTTTTTTAATATTAAAAATTATAGAATTTAACAATTTAAAAAAAAAAATTTTAATGAAAATAAAAAAGTAAAAATTATTTTTATATGAAACTATAAAAATATCAAAATTAAAATAAAAATTAAGATAAAAATAAAAATAAAAAAAAATACTATTAACAAAAAAAAAATTTTTTTTAGATATAAAAAATTTTAAAAAACTATAGAAAAATAATAAAAGTATTTTTTTTTCTTCAAGCTTGTGAGAATTTTATTTAAATCAATGAAAGAAAAAAAATAGTGGAGAATTTACATTGCAATTAAAAGATGCAGAATTTCATGCTATGAAAATTGTACTACATTCATTAACAACGTTTATGATTATGAATGTAAAATTTTGAGAGCCATATATATATATATATAGTGAATATTTTCGTATAAGGAAAATGGATAATTTCATATTAATATTCAACACTTTTCACACCACACTCACTGGCAGTGGTCATTCTTAAATTTATTTATGCGTATAATCCGTAATATCAGCCAAGTCAAATATTAAACATTACACATTTTAATTATCACCTCTCTATATATCCATTGTGAAATTTCCCTTCGTTAAATTTTATTCAAACAATGTCGTTGAAATATTTACCATTTCAAATTTTCTCATATATTAATTATTAATATAATAAATTTACATTATTATTAATAATTAATAATGAATTTATAATATAAATAAATATAAATAAATAAAAATATAAATAAAAATAAATATAAATAAAAAATATAAATAAACAAATTAATTAATATAAAAATTAAATTAAAATTAAATAATAATTTATAATAATTAATAGTAACTAAATATTATCACAGCTAAAAAAATACACTTTTTAATTAATCATTTTTAGGTGAGAAAAAATTAGGTAATTTTTTCCATGCATAAAAATTTAATTTTTTATTTTTAATAACTCGACATGCGAAACGTCATTTTTAACAACATGTTGTTTATAGAATAATTAGATAATGAGATAAAAAAAAATTTTATTTAATTAAAAAGCAGTTTATTTGTTTTTTTTTTATGTTGCGATTTAAACAAAAAATGTTCTCTTAACAAAATTCAAATTTTTTTTTACATACTACATTAAAATATTAAAAAATTATGAAAGAATTTAATAAATTTTTTAAAAATCTTCTAAATAATTTTTTTTACACGTTTTTTCCAATAAAAATAAACTGAACACTGTAGAAAAAAAAAATATTCTCATATTGAGAAGAATATTTCGCTATTGAATTATTCTAATTGAAAATTTTAAACCATTTTCTAATTTATATCACGATTTGCACACATAATAGAAACAAAATAAATATATATACTATATATATATTCTCAAATTGAGAGGAATAATTCGCTTCTGAATTTCTCTAAAATTGAGAGATTTTTAAATTTTTTTTTTCAATATCACAATTTCGACATAATAAAAACAAAACAAAAAATATATTCTTAAATTGAGAGGAATAATTCGCTTATGAATTCCTCTAAATTTGAGAGGATTTTGTCATTAGAAAAATTGATTTTTTATCACATAGTGTTATAAATTTTCCCTAAAGAATTTGTTTTTTCTATTTAATATCAATACTAAACTATTCCTCTTGTGTTAAGAGGATTTTTGTCTTAAATTTAAATCATAAGCGTTTTTGGCAATTTTGAATTTTTATTTCGTACAATATTTCAGTAGAATGACAAAATTTTTTTTTTTTTTAGATTTAAATATCACAGGAATTCTATTCCTTTAGTATTTAGAGGATTTTCTTATATGAATTTAGAAATTTTTTTGCAATTTTTAATTTATTTATATATTTATTAATTTAAATCAAAAATAGACAAAAAAAATTATTTCAAAATATTTTTTTTATGATATTATTTATTAAGAGAAAAAATCCTCTCAATTTAAAAGTAAAAAAAAAATATTCTCGAATAAAAATTGAATAAAAAACAAAAGGTACTACAAAATTTAGTATAGAAAATAGCCTCAATTTTAGTCTTAGAGAAATCCTCTTAATTTGAAAGTAAATTATCCTTTTAATTTATAAGTAAATAATCCTCTCATTTTGAGAATAATAATAAGTAAACAAATAGATTAAAGGTAATACAAAGTTAAGTATTGAAAATAATTTTAGTATTAGAGAAATCCTCTTAATTTGAAAGTAAATTATCCTCTTAATTTAAAAGTAAATAATCCTCTTAATTTAAAAGTAAATAATCCTCTTAATTTAAAAGTAAATAATCCTCTTAATTTGAGATTACTAATAAGTAAACAAATAAATAAAAGGAAATACAAAATTAAGTATAGAAAACGACCTTAATATTGTAAGCAATCCTTTCAATTTGAATGTAAATTATCCTCTCAATTAAAAATTAAATAATCCTCTTAATTTGAGAATTAAATAATTAAACAAATAAATAAAAAGTAATTAAAAATTCAGTATTAAAAATGGCCTTTGTATTAAAGAAATCCTTTCAATTTGAAAGTAAATTATTCTCTCAATTTAAAATTAAAAAATCCTCTCAATTTGAGAATAATACTAAGTAAACAAATAAATAAAAGATAATTCAAAATTCAGTATAGAAAATAATATTAGTAATTAGAGAAATCCTCTCAATTTGAAAGTAAATTATCCTTTCAATTCGAAACTAAATAATCCTCTCAATTTGAGAATATATTTTTTTTTGTTAACAAAGTAATAAAGAATTTAGTTTAAAATGACAATTTTTTCTATTGCACATCTTTACTGCAGCATTTCTCTTATTTTAAGAGGATTTTTTCTCATAAGTAAATTTTTTTTTAAAAATTATTCATAATTTTATTTACTTTTAATAAAAATTATTTTATCCATTATATTGTCGTTATGTTATATATATATATTTATTTAAATATAGTTTTTTTCATTATTTAGTATATGAATTGCATTATTCGGAAATATTATATTATATTCATGACCCAATTTTCATATCATTTGAATATGTCAATGGAGGAAGAACAAAGATCGAATTGACGACATCTATATATATATATATATATATATATATATAAAAGATTCGAATGAGAATGAAGAGCTGATATATATTTCTTGATTTTGTTATCGGGTTCTTCTTTCTGTCTGATTTGAAATGCTCTCTGTGTATAGCAATGTGAAGCTAAACTAAGCCCTGAAGCAAGGAGCTTTTGTACTTTCGAATCCCGATCCCTTTCAAATTGCTTTCTTGCTTTTCCGACTTTGGAGGGACAAATTTGCAAAAACATCGTTGCTATTGTTTCCTCTTCTTGTGCAATATATATATATATATATATATATATATATATATATATCAACTCTCTTGTACGTCCTTCCAACATTTGATAAATTTTTTATAAACTATCCATTGAAAAAAGAAAATTAAAATTTATAAAATAAAATAATAAAATATACTTTTTTTTATTACTTTCAAATTGAGAGGATTAGTTTTGATAATTCTTTGAGAGAAAAAGAAATAATAATCTAATGTAAAAAAAAAACTTCTTTTTAGTAATAGAGAGAAAAAAACTTCAAAAGTTTTTACTTTTTTTTTTAGTAGAAAATTTACTTAAAAGAAGAATCCTCTTAATGTGAGAGGAATCGTTTAGCAAAAATGTACAATAGGAAAAATTAAAACCAAACAAGTTCTATACATATCGAAAGTAAATTTCTATTTAATTTTTTTGTAATTACTCCTATTTTTAAATTAAATTATTCTCAAATTGAGAGGATTATTTAATTTTAAAACAAAATGTAAGGCTGTACTCTATATACTACTGAGGCTGTAATACTAACAATAAGATTATTTTCTATTTTTTCTATTTTCCTTTTTTTATTTGATTTAATTACTATTCTTAAATTAAGAGGATTATTTAGCATTCAAATTAAATTTTTTTCCTAAATCTAAAAAACAATAATTTTTTTTAATTTATTAAAATTGTGATAGAAATTTACAAGTTAAAAAATCTCTCAATTTTTGAGAAATTCAGAAGCGAAATATTCTCAATTCGAGAGTATTTTTTTAATATATATATATATATATATGTTTTTTCAATTAAAAAATAATAATAAAAAAAAACTATTTTCACATATTATTACCCTATTAAAGTGTCACATGAAACTTTTATTTTTTTACTATATTATATCTGTATAAACCATTTTTTTTATCGATAAATTTACATATAAATATTCTCAGTATATAGTAAATATATTGACTTGATATACTGTTGTCATTTTACCTGTGTATATTTTATCTTCTCTCTGATATTATAGTGGGAGTTTTTTTTTCTCTATATATTTATGTTTATATGTAACTTTTGTAATAAGTACTTCGAAACGTGAACTTAACTTTTTTTTATGCTTCACTATACACTGTTTATATCCCTTAGTATAAATCATTTTATTGATCATAAATAGGAAAATTATTAAATAATTTCAAAATTAAAATTTTAATGACAAGCTTATTTTTTCATTTGCAATTACAATTTTTTGTAATGAAAGAAAAGAAATAGTTAAAAATAATATTTTATATTATAATAATATTAAAATAAATAATAATAATAATAATAATTTGAAATTTATTAAATTTTCCTCTGAAATGAAGTGTAATTTCTTTTCAGCAATAAAAATACATTATTCCACCTAGTTTAAGAGGATTTTAATTTTATTTTTAAAAAATTTTTAAAAAAATGTATTCTTCTAAATTTAAATGAAAAGGAAAATTTTCCTCTCAAAATAAGAATAATTTTAATTTGTTAATTTTTGATAATATACAATAACGAAATATTTCAATGTTATTTTTTCTCAAATATTCAGAGAATTATAATATTTCTTTTTATACTTAGAAGAGAAATCCTCTTAATTTTAGAGGAAAACAAAATTATTTCTCTCTTACTGAAAAGATTCCATATTTAACATAATATAAAATATTTAAAGAATGAATACTAAAATATCGTCCTGAAATTTCAAATACTCTTAATTTGAGCATAAAATAAAATTTTAGTATTCCTCTCAAAGTAAGTGGATTTCCCTCTTAGTCTTGTGTTAAGCTTAAAGTATAAAAATCCAATGTTTTTTTTTCAAAAAAAATTTATTATCTAAATAAAATGTTATTTTGTAGCTAATGATTGAATCCTCTCAATTTGAGAATAAATAGAGATTTTCTATTTTAATTAGAAGTCTTAAATTTTATTTCTCAAAATTCTTTTAATTTTAATTTTATTTCCATTGTCAAGGAAAAATTTTTAATATTCTTCTCAAATTGAGAGGATTTTTTCTACCTTAAAAAGTGAATCCTCTTATTTTGAGAGAAGTAGTAAAATTTTAAAATACTAACATATTTCGTATACAAAATTTAAGAAATCCAAATTTGGCATGAAATTCTGTTGGAAAAGAATACTAAATCCCTCTTAAATTGAAAGGATATTTTTACTGGCTATAATTATAATGGACAAATTTTATTTTATTTCTCAAAATTCTTTTAATTTTAATTTTATTTCTATTATCAAGGGAAAATTTTTTATATTCTTCTCAAATTGAGAGGATTTTTTTCAACCTTAAAAAGTGAATCCTCTCAATTTGAGAGAAGTAGTAAAATTTTAAAATACTAACATATTTCGTATACAAAATTTAAGAAATCCAAATTTTGCCTAAAATTCTGTTGGAAAAGAATATTAAATTCCTCTTAAATTGAGAGGATATTTTTACTGGCTGTAATAATTCTAATGGAAAAATAGAAAATAAAATTTAAAGAAGTTCTATATAACAATTTTAACTCTTCTTTAGCCTAAAATTAAATTAAATTCCTAAAATTTTTATTTAAATATTAAATTCCTCTTAAATTGAGAGGATATTTTTACTGGCTGTAATTCTAATGGAAAAATAGAAAATAAAATTTAAAGAAGTTCTATATAACAATTTTAACTCTTCTTTAGCCTAAAAATTAAATCCTCTCAATTTAAGAGGAATAATTTTTAATTTTGAAAAAAAATATAAAAATAAAAATAATCTTTTAATTTCTCTTCTCTTCAGTATTAAAATCCATAATTTTTATTCTAGGGAGAAAATACTCTCATTTTGAGAGGAAAAAAAATTATTTATTTTTTTTTTTAAATACCTTGGCAGACATTGCGCGACGATTTGAGCTTATTCGATTGCATCTGACACGATTTGTGGAAGACATTGAATTTGAAGGTCCAGCTAAATCATCAGATCGTGAATTAAACATTGTTGTACGTTCCATTATTCCTGAATGTTCACGATCCATTGATTTTTCACGACTTATTCTGCTAGGAAATTCACGTAATTTTCCCAGGCACACTGAACTTTGACGAATTTCACGTTGAAGGCCCCTCCAAAGTTTACTTGCTATTAAATAATATGCTAAACTCATAACAATTAACGGCACTAATAATAGAGCACCATCTAAAAAAATATTATATGCCCTCTCATATTCAACACTATCACCCCAATCCTCACGACACTTTTGTCTGCCTGTGAATAAAAAGAAAAACACAAAAAAAAAATATTTTTATACCTATTTATGAAAATTTGTTTAAAAACAATTTAAAACTAGTTTCGGATCAATTCAAACGAGTTCCAACTAGTTAGAATTTATTTAAATTTATTTCAAGTAATTTTTAATCTATTAATCTTCTAAATTTTCTTATCTGTAAAAATAGTTTTGTACCAATTTAAATTTATTTTTTTTTTTTGTTAAAATTATTTTTGAACATATTCAAACCTGTACAGAATTAATTTAAACTAGTTTCAAACAACATTTCTATTTTTCTTTTCAAATTTTCCGAAAAAAAGGTCAACTCAATTTTTTGGTGACTCTGAACTTGTTAAAATCGTTATAAATTAGTTTCGGACCAACTCAAACTAGGTCGAAACCAATTAGAACTTGTTTTAGATTTATTTGAACTAGTTTCGAAACAAAATAAACTTGTTTTTTTTTTAAATCAATTCAAAAACAAGTTTTAAAACCTACTCAAACTTGTTTCCAATGAATCTGAATTTGTTTACAGTCAATTCAAACTAGTTTCGAACCAAATTGAACTAGTTCGCACCTGTTTGAATTTGTTTCGGATTCTTTAAACTCATTTTTTCAAAGAATACAATCTAATTTCAAACCAAATTTAATTTGTTTTATGAGAAATTCTTAACTTATTTTCAATGAATCTTAATCTGTTCAAATTCAAACAAGTTCAAACCAGTTAGAAATAGTTATAGATATATTTCAACCAGTTTTCAATCAATGCAAAACTAGTATTCGATCAATTTAAATATATTTTTTTGTTAATTATGGTCAATTCGAAATAGTTTCGGACCAACTCAAACTAGTTCAAACCAATTAGAACTTGTTTTAGATTTATTGCAACTACAAATCTGTACAAAATCAATTCAAACTAGTTTTATTCAAAATTACAATTGTTTCTTTTTCTAATTAATTTAAAATAATTTTAGTACCCACTTAAATTTGCTTTCAATTAGTCTAAACTTGTTTAAAATCCACTCGAAGTAGTTTTGAATCAACTCAAACCAGTTAGATTTTGTTTTTAATTCATTTCAACTAGTTTTTTTTAATAAATGCAAAGTAATTTTGGATAAATTAAAATTTTTGTGTTTCAATTTGTATTTTGAACAAATAAAAACATGTTCAAAATCAATTCGAATTTTGTTTTTGATCAATTTAAACTTGTTTTGGATCATCTCAAACTAGTCCGAACCTGTTTAAAAATTGTTTTAGATTCTTTTAAATTTATTTTCAATACAAACTAGTTTTGGTATCAATTTTAAGTTATATTTTGTTAAACTGTTTAAAATCAATTCGAACTTGTTTCGAATCAATTCAAACCAGTTTTGGATAATTTCAAACTAGTACAAACCGGTTTAAAATTGTTTTATCTTTTTTTTAAACTTATTTTTGACTAACTTAAACCAATTTAAAATCAATTCCAACTAGTTTCGGATCAGTTCAAACTAGTTTTGGACAAATTCAAACTAGTTTTGAATAGATACAAACTAGTTTCGGACAAGTTCGGAATTTTTTTAGGAAATTTTTTTTTTATTCTACAATTATTTTTTGCAAAAAAAAATTTTTTTTTTTGTTAAAAGAAAAAAAAATTCAATTATTTGAACGCTAATAAAAAAAAATGTTAAAAAAATGTTAAAATATTATAATTCTAATTTGTTACACTCTCACCTCCCCTGATGCTCTTGAGCTTGGAAACCGCAAAAATAGGCGCACTCCATGTTAAACTTATTGCCCAGACAATGACAATCATTTTATAAGCATGAGATTCTGTCTGCCATGTTCTCGATTTAAGTGGTCGACAAATCGCATAATATCTCTCCAATGAAATGGCAACGAGTGTCCAAACTCCTACAGAAACTGAAACAGCTGAATTGCAAAAAAAAAATTATTTTATTTTGTTATTTTTTTATTTAAAAAATTTTTTATTATTATTTTTTTATAATTTTTTTTAAATATATATATTTTTTTATATTTTATATATTATATAAAAATTAAAAAATTTATTATTATTATTATTTTTATTATTATTATTATTATTATTATTATTATTATTATTATTATTATTATTATTATTATTATTATTATTTGATTGATATCTTTTTTTAATAATATTATAATTTCGATAATTTTATTTTTAAAAAAATTTTTTTAAATATAAAAAAGAAAAAGAAATAGAAATTAAAAAAAGAACATAATTATTATTTAAAAAAAATTACTGAAAATTGAAACTGTCTTTTTATTATAAATAATAAAAAAATAATAAAGTTTCAAAGTAAATACAATAAAATTTCCATGGGTATAACATTACGAAATATAAGAGCATAAATTGAAAAAAAAATTTTTTCAAGATGAAAAAAAGTATAAATACAAGCAAAAATGTGGTAAGAGAAATATTTTGGCTCATCAAATATTTGCATAAGAATAAGACTATGGCTTGGGAGAAAGGGGGAAAATTTTTTTTTTTTTTTTTTTTTTTTTGTCCCTCTATACATTGACTTTTATCTTAACATTATTGATACTTGCATTACAATGGCGCACATTGTCGATTATTATTATGAAAGAAAACAAGAATTTAATATAAAATATGGGACACAAAATTTAATCAGTAAGAAAAACCTTCATTTTTTTTTTTTTTTTTTCTTTTTGCTTTCCTAATATATGATAACTGCCGCAATTTATTTTCACAAAATTTTTCAATTTTTCACCAATTATTATTGATGTAAGAAAAAAAGAAAATAATTTGTACCGTAAATTTTTTTTTTCTTTCAAATTAAAAAATATTTATTTATTTCTGATTTTTGAGAATATTTTTTTTGCAAAAACAAAAATACATATTTTGTTTCAAAATTAAAAAATATTTTATGCAAAAAGAAAATTTTGTTTTAAATTGAAAAAAAAATTTTTTGCCAAAAAAAATTGTTTTAAATTGAAAAATAATTTTTGCCGGAAAAATTGTTTCAAATTGAAAAATATGTATTTTTTAAAACAAAATTTTTTTTGAATAATTTTTTTTTTTTAAAGAATTCTTTAAATTATTTCTTAAATAACATTTAGAAATTTTTGTAAATAAAATAAAAACAAATAAATTAAAAAAAAAAAAAAAATTGAAAATTAATTTCAAAAAAACTTTGAGAAAAATTTTCTATATATATTTGCGAATATAATAATTTTAATAAAAAATAATTTTTTTTTGAAGATAAATATATTAATGAAAAATAAATTATTCAGTTAAAAAAAAATGACAATTGTTCATTTTACGATAAAAGTAAAAAAAAAAATGAAATAATTTCATCGAAATGTGATAAAATCTACAAAAATGTCGCAAATAATAATTAATTTCAAAAAATAATTGAACTAAAGAGAATTAAATGCTGGGTAATGTTATTTCAAGCGCGCAGTAAATGCGGTATTATATGTAAATTCAACAAAATGTAGTCAATAGAATTTCCCATTACTGGGAAAATTAATTACCAATATATTATATATAAATGTAAAATTACGTTTAATCGCTTTTTGAACGACCACATGTACAATAAATAAAACATGTAAATTTAATTGTAATTAATAATCATAATTAGGGGGAAAAAAATTTCTATTTTTTTAATGCAAAAATAAGTGAAAAAAAAATTTTTTTTATTTAAAAATGAAAAAATTTAAATTTAAAAATTAGGAAATTTAAATTTAAAAATTTTTTAATTAAAAAACAGTTTAAATTAACAAAAAAAAAATTTATATTAGGTACTAAATTAATAAAAAAAAAAAAAAAAAATTTTTGAAATTTATGAATTTTTTTTAACGACTATTTTTTTTTTAAACATTAGTTTTCATAAATAATTTTCATATCCATATTCGAGTCATTTTCTTTTTGTGTAACAAATGTTTTCCCCTATTTTGGAGTGAGGATGAGGAGAAGGGGTAGAGGGGAAGAGGGGAAAATTAATACTTCCCCGTGTTATTTGGCTAATTAATTTTTTCCGCATTATGACAAATAATTAATGTTCGCCGTTCATAAAAGCGAGGCGAATATCATACAACGTGCAAAATTTATTACGTTTATTCAAATAGGAATTTTTATAATAAAATTTTCTCATACTAAATTTTGTTTTTTTTTTTTTTTTTTTTTATTATTAAAAAAGGTCAATTCCCGCCGAGAAATGAAGTTTAATTTTGTAAAGAAAATAATTTAATTAAAAAAAAAAAAGCGAAAACAATTTTTAAGAATCAACGGAAAAACAAAAATTATTCGACATTCGCTAAATAATAATAGTCGGTAAATTTTTTTTGTTCAAGTAAAATTAATTTTCTTATTCATATATAAAAAAAAAAAAAAATTTTTATATTGCATATAAAACTGAATCAACAGTTTTTCTTTTTTACAACGTTTATAAAAGTTTCTCATCCAAACGTGAGAGAGAGAGAGAGAGAGAGAGACTCTTTGGAATCAAAAATCCCCTTCGTAAAACTCAACAAACTGAATTTCGAGAAAATATTTACTTACTACAAAAATGTTTATTCAAGAATAAAATAAGATACGACAGCAAAAAGGTTGTAACATTTCGACAAAAATGTCAGGAACGTAACCTTTTAAAAGAAGTAAAAATGTTTGAAGAAATTTATTATTTTTAAAGTTGACAAAAATTTTCATTTGGTGTACATATTTTTCATTTCATTTTTATTTTTATTTTATATTTTCCAAAAAATAAAAGAAGGTCAACTCACTCTTTTTTTGGTAATTCTAAACTTATTTACAAAATAATTTTTAAATAGTTTCAAATCAAATTAAACCAGTTCAAACCAATTAGAACTTGTTTTAGATTTATTTAAAATTATTACAATAATTAATTAAAACTAGATTTGTACCAATTTAAAAATATTTTTTTTTAAAATAGTTTTGTACATACATATATGTAAAACAGTACAAAATCAATTTAAGTTTTGGAACAACTCAAACTAATTCGAACCAGTTAGAATCAGTTAGAACTTGTTTTAGATTTATTTCAACTAGTTTAAAATTAATTAAAACTAGATTTGGACCAATTTGAAAATTCCTTTTTTTTAAAACATGGTGTTGTACATTTTCAAAACAGTAGAAAATCAATTTAAACTAGTTTCGAACCAATTCAAACTAGTTCGAACCAATTAGAAATTGTTTTAAATTTATTTCAACCAGTTTTCAATCAATGCAAACTAACATTGAATCAATTTTAAATATTTTTTAAACATGTTGTTGTACATATTGAAACCTGTAAAAATCAATTCAAACTAGTTTCGAACCAACTCAAACTAGTTTAAACCAGTTAAAATTTGTTCTTAAATCGATTTAAAATTAGTTCTATAATTTACTTAAATTTATTTTCAATGAATCTAAACAAGTATTCAATGAATTCAAACTAGTTTGAACCAACTTAAACTAGTTTGAACTTGTTTTAAATTTATTTCAACTAGTTTTTAATAAATACAAACTAGTATTGGACTAATTTAAACATATTTTTTGGTTGGACATGTTTTTTTTAAACCAAATACTAAGTTGTACCATATCAATTCAAATTAGTTTCAAACCGAATTAAACTTGTTCTTAAATAGATTCAAAACTAGTTCTATAACCTACTTAAACTTATTTTTAATTAATTAAAACATGTTTACAATCAATTTAAACTAGTTTCTGAACCAATTCAAACTAGTTCGAACCAGTTAGAAGTTGTTTTAGATTTATTTGTATATTTCATCTAGTTTCTAAACAATGCAAACTAGTTTTGAACAAAATTTAGATATCTTTTTTTGTTTAATATAGTTATGAACATATTCAAAAAAATATAAAATCAATTCAAACTAGTTTTTGACAAACTCAAACTGATTCGTACCAGTTTGGCATTGTTTTAAATTTACATGAACCTGTTTTAAATTTATGTAAATTAGTTTTAGACAAATTGTAATGTATTTTATTATTAAACATGTTTTTTTTAACAAATACAAACGTGTACAAAACTAATTCAAACTGGTTTTGAACCAATTTAAACTTGTTTTTGAATATGGATTTTAAACTTATTTTAAGGATCTAGATAAAATGGCTTCTAATGAATCTAAATAGGTTTAAATTTGTATTACATTTATTTCAACTAGTTTCCGATCGATTCAAACTAGTTTCGAACAAGTTCGTACCAATTCAAACTGGTTTTAAATTCAATTAAACAAGTTCGTACTAATTCAAACTGGTTTTAAATTCAATAAAACAAGTTCGTACCAATTTCAACTACTTTCAGATCAATTCAAACTAGTTCGTACCAATTTCAACTAGTTTCCGACCAATTCAAAAAAGCTCGTACCAATTCAAACTGGTTTTAAATTCAATTAAACAAGTTCGTACCAATTCAAACTGGTTTTAAATTCAATCAAACAAGTTCGCACCAATTTCAACTACTTTCAGATCAATTCAAATAAGTTCATACCAATTTCAACTAGTTTTAGATCAATTCAAACAAGTTCATACCAATTTTAACTAGTTTTAGATCAATTCAAACAAGTTCGTACCAATTCAAACTGGTTTTAAATTCAATCAAACAAGTTCGCACCAATTTCAACTACTTTCAGATCAATTCAAATAAGTTCATACCAATTTCAACTAGTTTTAGATCAATTCAAACAAGTTCATACCAATTTTAACTAGTTTTAGATCAATTCAAACAAGTTCGTACCAATTCAAACTGGTTTTATATTCAATTAAACAAGTTCGTACCAGTTCAAACTGGTTTTAAATTCAATCAAACAAGTTCGTACCAATTTTAACTAGTTGCAGATCAATTTAAACAAGTTTGTACCAATTTAAACTGGTTTTAAATTACATAAAAAAATTTTTCTATCAATACAAA